AGGCTTTATTATGGAAATGGCATTTGAATTTGGCTTTGAAAGGATAGAGAGCTTTTCCTAGACCGAAGCAAAGAATGGCTCATAGTAAGTGCTCAATGTTTGCTGAAGTAATTCATTAAAGACACAAATGGGAAATATTCTTGAGAAATAGCAAGTTGCAAAATCTATACCTTACTATACATTCACTTTATATGAAAAACTCTAATTCACATGGTCCATGAACTATGTAAAGGATGTATTCTTAAAAGGTAAACTATATATGCTTACGTCAAAAGCAACTTTTCTATAAGAAATAATGATAAAGGAGAGCACGAGAGGAGTTTGGGGTCAAAATAAGCTGACATTTAAAACCCACTTTCGTAAAGTCAATTCCACCTCATAGTGAGCCTAAGGACCAGAGTACATTTACTCCCTAGAGTTTTCCAGGCTGTGAATCTTTATGGAAATGGACTATCCTCATCCTCCTCTCTTAGGGCAACTGTTGGGCTCGAACTGCTGACCTTGTATGTAAAATGTAACCCATTACAACACCAGGTTTCCCATAGTCCAGATAACCAGTTCTCAAAGAATTATCTACAGACACTGGAGATTCATGAAATCCAGGAATATGCATAGGCTCAAAACTTTCACAGCAATGGAAGACGGAACCTGCCTTTTTTGCTATGTGGACATTTGCACTATTGGTGCCATATTAGGAAGCAAGACAGTAGCATCAAACTGTTGTCATTGTATTCCGCACTGACATATATCTGGGTGGTGGGAGACAGTTAAGAATGTCATTGATGAAACAGAAAAAAATTATCAAAATCTCAACTCTTTGAGTATACCCTAGTAATAATACATGGTTACTTTCGCCTTATCTACATTAAAGCAAAATGACTTAGAGCATATTACTGAAATTGATGGAGTGGGAAATATTTTTAAGTTTTTCTAGTGATCAAGGCTTGGAATATAGAAATTGGTCATACAACACTCATTTAAAAGCACTGTATAAGATGGAGACAGCCTAAGAGCCCATCAGTGGAATAATGGATAAACAAACTTTGGTACATGCACAATGAATATTACACTACCTTGAAGAATAACAAGGAAGCTGCAAGCCACCGCATAACATGGATGAACCTTGAGGACGTTATGCTGAGTGAAATTAGTCAGTCACAAAAGGAGAAATACTGCATAGAACCATTATTGTAAAAGCTTAAGAAAACATACCCGTACTAAAAGGGAAAAAAAAAAAATTCCTTGTTGGTTACTGGGGGAGGGGTTGTGGAGGTGGAAGGAGGGGACAGTAGAGCACAGGGTAGGGGGTAGACACATCATAGTGCAGGTGTTGGGAAGGCAATATACATGAAGGGGGGGTGGGAGAACAAGGTAGATAGGGGAACCCTGAGGCAGGTTTGCATGGGCTAAATGGGACAGAGGTAAACAGTGATGCATGCTCAGCCTTGAAACAACGGGGCTCTGTGACACAGGGATCGAGGCATAGTCTGAAGAAGGGAAATAATGTTAAGATACTTGACTGTTTTATGAATATTTGTTTCCCTGTCCTACTATTGTAAAATAGACACTTGAGTGGGATAGAAAGGAATGTCGGGAAACATGATTGCAGAAAGCTTGTAAACCCGTCTTCAGCCTATAACAGATTGGAATACCTAAAAGGGGTTCTACAACTTTCCCAGTGAAATAGGCTTCTTGTGGAGCCTTTGCAGTATATAGGACCTTAGGTAGAATCTTGAGCCCTATCCAGAACCTTCTGAGGTGGGGCATTCCCACTAGAAAGGACAAGCAGACTAGCCTGGAACAGCTAGAGCATCAAAAGACAACTTCTTGAAAGAAAGATCAGCTGAAAAAAACCCAAAACAAACATGGCAATCTGACTGGCTACTACAAGAACAAGCAAGTTGTTTGCCTGGGAGCCAGCAAGGCAAGAAATCAAGTTCCTTCAGGATAAACCCCTCCTTCCCAAGACAGAAACTCAAAGAGAACCCATGAGTAGGCATGCACGCTTGCTGGCAACCACATTGGTCTACTGGTGGAAAGGCAGAAATGCAGAAGTGGGCTGAGGTCAACTACGTTCCATAGACTCTCATTGACCTGGAGATGGGAGAGAGAAGAGGAAGAGCTGGTTGGTCCGAATTGTGGTGAGACCTGGGGACTCCTGAGCCCATGAACAGGGACATAGCCACAGAGGGCTAGAGCTGAGAGTGAAGCGTCCAGCTGATATGAAGTGAGAGAAGATGAACAAGAAAGCCCAGACTTGCAGATAGTACCCATGTTACCTAACCTCGATGGCTTTTGATGATCAGAATTCGACTGTTGTTGTTGTTGTTAGGTACCATCAAGTCGGTACTGACCCATAGCGACTTTATGTACAGCAGAACGAAACACTGCCCAATTCTGGACCAACCTCAGTAGTGAGGTTGGCCCACACTTGAGTCCATCGATGCTACCACTTGGTTAATCCATCTCGTTGGGGGTCTTCCTCTTTTTCTCTGACCCTCCACCTTATCAAACATGATATCCTTCTCCAGTGACTGGTCCCTCCTGAAAATATGTCCGAAGTATGAGAGACAAAGTTTGGCCATGTTGGCCTCCAAGGAGCACTGTGGCGGCACTTCTTCCAAAACAGATCTATTGGTTCTTTTGGCAGCCCAAGGCACTTTCAGTATTCTCCCCCAACATCATAACTCAAAAGCATCAATTCTTCTATGGT